AATAACAAGTGTAATATCCACTAAAGCAAAGCTTAAGTATATAACACCAACAATTGGTTGCCGGAGGTGGTGGCGTTGAACGCTTCAGGGAACGATTTGTAGCATGGCTCTGCCCAGCGTGGGAGGTGTGGTCTCGACCAGATTGTGACATGGGTATTTGAGCAAGCGATGGCTATAACAGTGAAGATTAACCTCAAAAACTTATGAGGCCCTCCTTCTAGCGCCAAACTATTGTTATGTGTGAATTAACAAGAATTATTTTGAGCAAGTTGTGTCAATTATTAAGAGAAATTATCATTATTAAAAGATGGTAAAAACGTGATCTATTGAATGTGAAAGTTCTTATGTCATGTCCCCCTTTTGGAAGCTTCTCCCGCTGTTTTATAGTACAATACAAAATTATCGAAACTACAATAATTCTCCAAGAAAAGTCAATGGCGGCTGATTGCCATTCATTCTTGTAACACTCCACTTGGCAAAGCATAATGATGATTTACTGAGTTGGCACCGCCTCTTGATGTCGGTTTGTCATGTCATAGATATCGGTTCGCTAGGCCATAACCGATATGGGATGTCGGTTTTTTGACGACGACGTCGGTTCTTGGCTCATTCTTATCCGACTCGTGGTTACTTGAAATTCATGAGTGTATCAACTTCTGAGATAACATAATCTTCTAACTGAGCTCCTGGTGCCAATAATTATTATTTATTCGGTTTAGCGAAAACCATGTCAACATGTTGCATTATGGTTTTGATGTCATTATTATGACTAAGTATTTTGATATGTGATGATGTCTTTGGATTTTAATGAGGAACGCCAAAAATATTTGAAATGAGTTTGAAAAATTAAATTGATTTTTCTGAAAAGCCATAGATTTTCGTTAAACCAAAGTGAGGCGTTACAATAATGAAGTGATAACCTTTTGATAAAAGAAGGCATATTAAGTTGTTTGTTCATGGTTAATAAGTATAACTTTTATGGTAACATTATTTTTTTACCCTTAAGCTAAAGTTAAATTTTCTAATGTTGCTACTCATCTCCTCATCCCTTTCCCTCAAATCATCAAACATATTAATTCCAAAAAACGCTAACATTAATTCGAACACCATTTTTCAAAGCCAACATGTTTAGGTGCTTGGAAACAAAAGCTAGAAGTCATGAACACAAGAATTCAGAAATTTAACATCAAAATGATTGAAATTAACAAAAAATAGTAATTATTCAAAATTTAAGGCGAGCTATCAAAAACTAACTCCAAGAAATAATGGCTATGTGTACCAACCCGAAGATAACAAACCGCCCAAATTTATTATTAAAAAAAACCCAATCTTTCTTGAACCTCGTCTCCAATATGTACATAATCGAAGATAAAGCGAAAATACAATAATAAAATTCCACGTCTCTGCAGAAATCATGAGGAAGCCCAAGAATCCCTGATCCATCTCCGTTTTCATCTATCAGCTGCTTGATGAATGTGATATGAGCATAGTATAAGAACAATATGATCGGTGTTTGCAATGGGTCGAAGGACGATAGGGCGGAATTGGGGAAGCAAAGAGCAGAGGAAGAAATCAATTGACATGAGAAATAAGGGGCATTTATGGAAATTTAAAGACAAATTTTGTATGGTTTACACATCTCACATAGAAGGTGAGATCCGTATAATGAAAAAAGCTTGATTAAATGTCTGGTCATGGAATTTTTCAAGGGCATTATGTTAAGAAGGAAATAGTATGAAATGAATGATATCCTATCAAACCTACTAAATTGACCCTTATGGCGTGTTTGTATTCAAATATATCCGCTCAAAATGAATTTCTTGGGTAAGCAGAGTTAATTTTGAAAAAGTTGTTATGATTCATTGTCAGTGGAACTTTGAGGTTATATTAAAATAATATTTAAAATAAAATAATTAAAATTAATTTGATATAAAAGTAAGAGAGAGATGATGAAAAGTGATTTTTAGTTAAAATTATGTGAGTGAATAAGTACTGAATTAAAATTTATATGATGTTCCGATTGAGTTTGTTCGGAACATCTTGGCTTGTGTTCAGTCATCAGCCAAGCAGTTATGCATTAATGGATCCGCCAATGCTGAATTTCTTCCTAATCGAGGAGTGCGACAGGAAGACCCGATCTCGCCTTATTTATTCGTGTTGTGCGTCGAAAGACTAGCCCACTTAATCCATAGTCACATTTCCGTTGGGATGTGGCGACCGATGAAGGTTGGTGGGGACGAGGTTCAAGTTCCACTACTCATGTTTGCCAGCGATCCACTATTGTTCCTTGAAGCTGCTGACGATTAAGCGCATTTGGTTCATTCGGTACTGTCGGATTTTAGTTCCATGTCAGGCCTGAAGATTAGCCAAGCCAAGGCTAAAGTCTTTTTTTCAAGAAATGTCCCAGTTGGACTTCAACAATCACTTGCTAGTAATATGGGTTTTTTGATCGCCTCCACCCTCAGGAAGTATCTTTGAGTACCGGTTTTGCACAGCCGTGTTACCAATCATACTTATGGGGATATTCTTGACAAGGCGGATGTGAGGTTAGCAGGATGGAAGGTGAGCACATTGTCTCTTGCGGGTCGTCTTGCTCTTACGCAGTCAGTGGTTACCTCTCTACCTTTCTACACCATGCAAACAACTTGGATACCTAATGCGATATGCGATGGCTTAGAAAAGCGCTATAATTTTTTGTGGGGCGGAAACGATATGAACATGAAAGTTCATCTTGTGTCTTGGGATACGATGTGTCTACCCAAAGAGCTAGGGGGCCTTGGAATTAAATGACAACCCGACATGAATAGCGCCCTCGTAATGAAGATTGGTTGGTCCCTCTTAACTAAGCCGCATGCATTATGGGTTCGGCTACTCCTTGCCAAGTATAAACTGAATCCCACTGTGATGACAACGAAATATGTATTTTCTAAGGGTTTAGCCCTTCTCCGAGCCATCAGTATGGTGTGGTCGTTCGTGCATTCTGGTGTGCGGTTGTCCGTTGGCGATGAAGTAACTGTCCGTTTTTGGTGGGATATTTGGACACACAACACCCAACCTCTTCTTTACGAGGTGTTGGGCCCTATTCCAGATCATCAACTCGACTGGACGGTTAGAGATTATATCGATGAATCAGGACAATGGAAGTGGGAACTTTGTAGCCATCTAGTGTCGGCCGGTACTTTGATTCGCATTGCAGCATTCCCGCCACCATCCCGGCTGGCTGGGCCTGACACTATGTACTGGGATTTTTTGGAAAATGGATGTTTCACAACAAAATCGGCTTACTTGTCGTTGGTTCATACTTAGTTGACTTCCAATCGTATATTATGGCGCGCCATCTAAAAATGGGTGGGCCCGCAAAGAGTTCGTCAATTTCTTTGGCTTGCGGCTCAAGAAAAGCTCTAAACAAACATTGAAAGAAGACGACAACACCTCACAAAGTCGTCTGTGTGTACCCTATGTGAGCGGCGAGACAAATCGATCCTCCATTGTCTGCGGGATTGTGTAGATGCAAAGCAGGTTTAGCCTGATCCTTGCTAATCGCCATTCAGAGTTTTTTAGCATGCCGCTATATGATTGGTTGCTCCAGAACCTTCAAAACGGTATGGCCATTGGGGTCGTGGGCTGGGAGACTGTCTTTGGTGTTACCTGTTAGGATCAACAATTCAAAACCCAGTTCTCCATCAAGCCCAATATACAAGCCCAAATGAGGTTCCATTCTAAAACCAATTGGCAATAGAAGGAGTAGCCCACCAAACTTATATATTGGACTTGGAACCTTTAATTTTTCGATGTGGGATTGGGTTTGCATACCCTACAAACCTCCCCTCAAACACAAGACCACACTGGGCCTCCTCTTGAACCAAATTCATATGATCCGACCATCTTGTACCGCCGTTATCACCCACGGAACCCGCCGCCTGACCACACCCTTTTCGCCAGGAAGACTTTCGACACAAGGCACACGGATCTACTGGCCCTTCCGACTCCACGGGGAACATGCCACGTCATCCATATCGCAACTGGGCTACCAACCGTGGGTCTGATACCAATTGTTAGGGTCAACAATTCAAAACTCCAGTTCTCCATCAAGCCCAACATACAAGCCCAAATGGGGTTCCACTCTAAAACCAATTGGCAATAGAAGGAGTAGCCCACCAAACTTATATATTGGACTTGGAACCTTTAATTTTTCTATGTGGGATTGGGTTTGCACACCCTACATTACCGTGTGGCAACTCTGAAAGGAACGAAATGAGAAGATTTTTTCTGATAAGGAGTTCATTGTTGCCAATAAATTTCGGGAGGTTCGCTCTCTTTTTTATGGAATAAAACATGTCACATTGGCCGGCAAACGCTTGGCAGGCCTCGGTGACGGACGAGGAACCCAATTCATTCGGTGGGAATCTCCCGGCATCGGAGTTGCTAAAATCAATACGGACGAGTCACTTTTGACTTCATCTGAGATGGCGTCTGCGGGGGGCTTGATTGGTGACACAGTTGGGCGTTGGCTGGTGGCTCGTAATGAATATCGGGTATTGTTTCATCATGGGAGCAGAGTTGTGGGGCCTTTTTCAAGGTCTGCTACTTGCATGGGATTTGGGGTATCGAAAGATCCTCGTTGAAGTAGACAATCAAAGTGTGGTATCAATGGCGAATGGGGGCTTAACGGAGAACCTTGGAGTTCATGGAAGCATGGTCCGGGCCATTCGAGAGTTGCTTAACCGGGCATGGGAGACTAGAGTGATTCATTGCTATAGAGAGGCGAACTTTGCGGCCGATTGTTTGGCGTCCTTAGCGCATCAATGACCGAGTGTTTATCAACGTTTATTATACCCACCTTCGATGGTTAAATCGTAGTTACAGCATGATCTCATTGGAGTGGCTTACCCGCGGAGTATAACTTTCAAAAGATGCTAGACTTTTGCCTC